ACATTTCTGGAGTTAGAGCATTTTATATACTCTTAGCTTGTGATTCATGAGGTTCCGAATTTTGGGAGTGTTAGGTTGAAATTCTTGGATTGTTATATGCAGGGCGGCATCTTAAACACTGTTATACTTTGTTATTTCGATTTTTATTAGTTTCTTTTCCACAATTATTTCTTTTCCGCATTTGTTAGGCTTACCTAATCGTAGAGACTAGGTGTCGTCACGACTGTTCACGGAGGGCGAACTTGGGTCGTGACAAAAGCGTTGCTGCCCAATGAATGACGGGTATCTCCTAGCTGCTGCCTTGCTTGGCTAAATGCGCTCTCTGATGCGACTGTTGAAATCGGCACATTTAGCACGTCTCGAGCCATGGCCGAAAGAACAATAAATTTATTTGAGTTGCTCTTCCACCAACCTAGCGGTAGAAAATTCTTTGTGAAGGACTCTGGTGACTTTTGCAAGTAGAATTGGAGTTCATCCATATTCCTGCTACTGGTTTGTTGATGCTCTCCTAGTGTAGACCAAATCAAATAATCTTGAAAACCATCATCATCATCCAAATATGTTCCAGATGTTGAAGTATTAGTTGAAGGAATATTTGCATCTACAACCGAAAGCATCAACAATGTTAGCATAATAATTATATAAAGTTTGTAAATGATTGTGTAGATCAGAAATACAAGTGTCAATATCAGGAGTTTCAGTTGGTCCAATATCCATATAAGTATATAAAGCACTGATTAATTGGCAACACTTTATCATTTTGATAGTAGGATTTAAAATAGCACCAAGTAGGTAAATATGGAGAATTGGGTAGAAGTATTTTTTAAACTTATCTAGCATAGATTCAACAACAGAAGTATATCATTCTTTCTTCTTCAAATTATGTAGTAAAAAAGAAATTTCAGCAATATGAACTAAACCATTTACAATAGTAGGATAATAAGCTCCAGAAAACTCGAGTGTAGCCACATAAAATTTTTGTAAAAATTGTACAAAATCTTCAATGACATCCCAAGTTCTAGATGCTAACAAACGGTTAGGATCGGTACAGTGAAAATTAGCAACTTCTGTTATAGGCATTCTATATTTATGACAACAACTTAAGAATAAATAAGTATAATTACACCTAGTAACTATTTCTTCAGGCATGAGTCTTGGTTTTAGTCCATAGTGTACATATTTTTCCTTAAATGCATTTAATCTAGCACTTCTATTATTTCCTTGAATTACACCAACAGCTCTCCTAACTAAAGTGATTTCATCTCTAAATAATTCAAGGCCACTCTTCACAATCAAGTTATAAATATGACATGCACATCTAACATGAATATTTCAGGAAGTGGTGGGTGTAGATGCAATTTTAATATTGTAGTAGCAGCATTGTTGTTATAAGCATTATCAAATGACATACACAAAACTTTTTCTGCAAGATTATAAAATATAGAAACTTTATGGATAATATTACTTACAAATGCACCAGTATGACTTTGATCTTCATCATATTAAAAATCAATAATACATTTTTGCATACAAAAATTATCATCTATCCAATGGCATGTAATAGTCAAATAATCACTTCCATTTACAGCATGACCAATATTAGAAGTAAGAGAAACTCTACAAGAAAGACTTGCGAACAAATAACGTATATATGTCTGATTGTCCAAAAAGCCTAAAGATATCAACTCTACAAGTACTTCTAGGAATAACTTTAAACAAAGGGTTATAAATTCATTGAATATAAGTAACAAGATACGGTGAAGAAGCAAAACTAAAAGGTAAACAACCTAAAACAATCATTTTAGCTAATTCTTCCCGATCTTTCTTAATATCATATTTACCCATTAACCCCCCAGTACTCGGGTTAAGTTTTTGTTGCCCAGATTGCTCATCTACTCCCCAATCAAGAGGGTGGAGCTCTTCCATATGCCTACGAAGTTGACCCGTTCCCCCTCCCTTACCGGGCTCATATTTATAAATTTCATTACAAATTTTACATTTTACATAATTTTTTTGATCTTCTAGTCTGTCAAAAAAATTTCAACACTTACTTCTTTATCTTCGATTCTTCTTAATAGGGAGGGGAGGCTTACTTGTTCCACCCCTAATATTTTGAGTTTGACTAGCATTACAAGGTGTAGGTGGTGGTGTTTCAAGATAATCGGGTGATTGAATATCATCTAAAATATCATCTAAATCATCATTTATACCATAATTTTCTTGCATTCGCTCATAATCTACATTTAAATTTTCAGGTGATCTTTCAGAAATATGTGCAAAGCTACTAGAAGAACCAACACCACCTCTTGATCTTTTGGAAGTTTTCTTACTACCACTACCACCTATACTAGTGCACGCTTTTTTGGCTGCTCTAAGTAAATCCATTATGTAAATTAAATTAAGAAATTAAATTAATAATTTTAAATAATAAAATAAGTGTACGCTAAATAAGAGAAAGAGATAGAACGAGTGTACCAGGATTCCGGATGCCGCACTAATTTTGATATCAAAAATCAAACTTCAATTAATAGACCGAAACTTGATAGTTGATACTTGATAGTACTTGATACCACACTTCACTTGAATACTTGATATTTGATAATAATAATTTTGTAATGGCTAAACTAAATAATTGATGAAACTTGAAATAATAAGTAATTGAGAATTTAAGAACAATAATCAATAATATCAAGAGAGAATTGAGAGTGAATTGTGAGAAAAAATGAAGAAGAAGGGGGGCTATTTATAGGTTTTAAAAGGTTAAAATTGTAATTTTTTAATTATTAGGGGTGGGAGGGCTATATTTTTAATGGGGGAGGCCGAAATGGCCATTTGTGCAAAATATGGTCGTTCCCCTACGGTCATTTCTAAATTTGACCATTGGCAACGGTCCAAAAAATTAAAAAAAAAAATTGTAACGGATACCGGGCTGAACCAGGCTGCAGCCCTTTAACAACCCGTTAACGGGTTAGCGGGCTTAGCGGGTTCCGGTGCACCGGTATCCAAAATGTGTTCGTCTAAAATCCGCCCCCGCCCAACCCGTCCTAGCCCGCACCTAAAAGCTACAGTAATGGGCTAACCCGGGCTGAAGCGGGTTAAAAACGGGTCAGCCCGGCCCGATTAACAGGTTACACTGCAAATGTTAAGGACATAATGTCCTTAACTTGTATTTGCACCTTCTGTTGTTAAACTTTAGGACCTCGTGTCCTTAACTTCATATGTGCAGTGTAAATATTAAGGACATGGTGTGCTTAACTTTATGTATCCAGTGTAAATGTTAAAGACAATGTCCTTAACTTTATGAGTGTTGTGTAAATATCAAGGACATGGTGTCCTTAACTTCATAAATATTGTGTAAATATTAAGGACAAAGAGCGTTGTATTTGCACCTTTCGTTATTAAACTTTAGGACACCATGTCCTTGACTTCATATATGCAGTGTGAATGTTAAGGACATGGCGTCCTTAACTTCATATGTGCATTGTAAATATTAAGGACACCATGTCCTTAATATTTATACAGCACTCATGAAGAAAGGGTAAAAATATCTTTTCGTATTAATTTTAATAGAGTAGTGGCTATATTTGCTCAGCGTTTAAAATATTGGATAAAAACTAAATACTATATTAAAGTGGCTATCCCACGCCATTTCTACTGAGACACAAACCATATTAAGAGCATGTTTGGATTGGCTTGTTTTAAGTGCTTTTAAGCCAAAATAGCTTTTAAGTCATTTTGTAGTGTTTGGATAAAGTAAGAAAATGCTTTTAAGCACTTATTTTTAAGCTAAAATGATAAAAACAAGCCAAAAGCTAAAAGCTAGAATTCCTAACTTATAGCCTAAAAGCTATTTTGGCTTAAAAGTCACTTGAAACAAGCCCATCCAAACGGGCTCATAAGCCCAAATGCGATTTAAATATTATATTTCTTTTAATGATATAATTTAATATTCATAAAGTAATTATATTATATTTGAAATCTCAAGCTTCAATAATAATTTTTCTCCTTTAAACACCATATATAGTCAAACATGTTCACATAAGGACCTTGGACCAAAAAAATGATTAAGATAGCCTACAACTGCCCCCATAAAGCCTTAGAGAGAGAAGCTCCAGCTTCTCTCTAACCTATCCCTTTGTGTGGAGCAAAAGTTCATTCATTCTTGTAAACTCCGCCACTAGCGAGATGGCTAGTTCATCAACATCCCAACATCATAATACACCAATTCCTCCGAAACCACCAGATGATAGCAATAATACAGACGATTCTTTTTTAATAGATCCTAGCCCAACCTTCAAAGATAAGCTACTGGCTAGTGAACATGTGAACTACATTTCTTTCCAATCCACAGGGAATCTATTCTCACCAATGGAAATTCAGGAGCGAAACAATTGCAATGATGGAAAAGAGGCACTAAATGAAAATCTTCAGATCCATCTATCAAAGGAAGATATGCATAGAATGTATTACCCTTGGAGATTTTCAGTAATCATCAAACTTCAAGGTAAGAGAATACTCCATCATTATCTAAGGAAAAAAAATTCAAGAGTTATGGAGGACCACGGAAAATTTTTCTCTAATAGATCTTGGTGCTGACTATTACATCGTTAAGTTTAACAAGGAGAAAAATATGATTACAACTTTGCAAAATGGGCCTTGGTTTGTAAACGGCCACTTCCTTTCAATCCATAAATGGGAGCCAAATTTTGTGGTTTCAGAAGTAAAACAATCGCTCACTACAGTTTGGATTCGTTTACCTCAACTTCCAACTGAATTTTATGATGGAATTATCTTACAAAAAATTGGAAATAAAGTTGGGAGGTTGTTAAAAATAGATGCTTGTACTAGCCACTTTGAGGGGGCAATATGCTAGATTATGTGTCGAAATTCCTCTTGATTATCCAGTTAAGCCATACATTTTTATTGGTTCGCACAAGCAACACATCTTATATGAAGGGGATAACTTTTTATGCAAAAGATGTGGAAGGTTAGGCCATTCATCCCTATAGTGGTCCTATGTTGTCTTGTCTTCTCCACAAGAAACTATGTTACATGCCAATTCTCAACAAATAACTACCAAAACAAATGGTGAAGAATGGCAAACGGTGGTATTCTCAAGGAGAAAGAAAATTTCTCAGAAAACAAGGGCTGAGCAAATCGGTGAATCACCTGCCACGGGTATTAATGTCAGGATTTTTGATGCATCAACAGGTAATTATCTCAATACCCAAAAACTAAAATATAAAAGCAGAGATTCACCATTAGAGCTGGACACAGACAAAAGAAAATCTCTCTTAGTTTCTGAAACTATTATTCCTCCTGCAGTCAAGCCTCTCCATGGGAAAAATAAATTTTTATTATTAGAAAATCAGCCCATGGTTTATGAAAATACCACTAATAAAAAAACCACTATTCAAGATTATCATGACCAATGCATGGACAACCTTGAGGTGGACTCCCTAGAGCCCAACGTGGATATCTCTAAGAGTGCCACCACAATTACTAGCTAACCTATTACTAGTCTTAAAACCTCTGCCAATAATAAAAAAAAACTCAAAAACAAGAATTCTCTATTCCCCCCTCTACCAACAACGAAACTTATGTTACCAATATTATTACTAATTTAAATAATTCAAATAACATTACTACTTCTAATCAATCTAAAAGCTCCTCGCACTTGTCCTCTGAAAATATATTTGATAAGCAAATGGCAGATGCTCGTATCCGCGTGTCCTCTACCGAATCCATGGAACTTTCCAATCCTACTATTACTTTCAATGAAAAAATCCCTGAAAGCTCTTGTGACCATAAGTCACAATCGTTGGCCATTGAAATACATTTAAGTAGCCAAATGGCTAAAGCTAAAGAGCAAAATCCACAAGGCTCATCCTTGCAAGATCCTACCAAATACAACATGCATACTGTGCAACTAGACTCTATTGCAATTGATTTGCCTATCCTTTCTCCGGATTCTCTTACTTCCCCACTTGAACTTCCCATTAAAATTTCAACTATTGAGAATAATTCCAAAAATACCATTTTTCTTGAAAAAGAGATGCAAACTAATCTAAGTTTCGGACAATCTTCATCCACTCACACCCCTTTCAATGGACACCAATCCTCCTCACAATGCTCAAGAACTAGGAGGAGAAAAAATAACAGTGGGGAAGGAAGGATTTCTTCCACCGGGCAGGGAATCGAGGGAAAAATTCTCAAGCCTAAACACAAACCTAGATGGGGTAAAAGTATATCTCTTTACGGAGATGCGAGAGAAGAGGCATGTGCTCAACTGCCCTCTAGCACTATACTAGTGCTCGATGGATATTAGGCCACCCCACAGTGGGCACAGAGCCATGATTCTAGTTCTATCTCTAGGAAGGAACCCTGTCTTTCTGGGAGGGGTGAGCGAGAATGGGGACCCAGCAAACTTGAGCCTACACCAATCCATGAACCGTCTAACTAACTTCATCATCTGGAATATAAGGAGAGAAATAATGACAACTTTAGGAAAAATTTTAAGGAAATGATAGACACTCACAGGCCGTGCATGTGACCTTATTAGAAACTAAAATGATAAATCATGAACAAATGCTAGATGATTTTGGCTTCTTGGAGATGATAGAAGTGCCAGCAGAAGGCCAGTCAGGTGGCATGGTAGTTATGTGGAATCATGAAGTGGTCACTGTCCAGAACTTCATCCGTAGGAACCAAGAGATTCATGCGATTATTGAGGTACTTCATATACGTAAAATTTTGTTATTCTCTTCTATTTATGCTAGTACTAACTACCAATATAGAAACATTATGTGGGAAAATCTAAAAAATATTTATAAAAATTATAAAGGCCCAAAGATGGTTAGTGGAGATTTTAATGATATTTTGGGGTCAAATAAAAAATTTGGGGGGAGACTTACTAACAACGATAGGGCAGATTTCTTATGGTCAAAAATTAATAAGTGTAACCTAATGGACATGGGCTATAAAGGTTGTAAATATACGTGGTCTAACCATAGACATAGAAATAAAGGCCTTATTATGGAAAGATTAGACAAAATACTAGGAAAGGAAGAATGGTCTGAGTTATTTCTAAATTGTTCTATTATACATCTGCCAAAAACTTATTCAGACCACAACCCTATTTTAATTGATCTAATTCCCAGAAAAAGACAAGGCCATATACAACCATTCCGACTAGAAACCTATTGGTGTAGACATCCAGATTTCCAAACACTTGTTAAAAAAAATTGGCATGGTACTGACTACTATAGTGCCAGAAAAAAATTTATAGACAGTGTTAAACCTTGGAAAGACAAGACGTTTGGTGATATAGTGGGGAAAAAAAGGAAAATATTAGCAAGGCTCCAAGGAATTCAAAATTCTATGAACTATACCCATAGTATTTTCCTTCAATCTTTAGAAAGCAATCTTAAGAAAGACTACAATGACATCCTTAAGATAGAAAAGGACTACTGGAAGATTAGATCCAGAATTATGTGGCTTAATGAAGGGGATGCAAATACCAAATTTTTTCATATATCTGCCTCAAATAGAAGAAGAAATAAAATTACCTTCTTTAAAGATGATGCTGGTAACTGAATTAATGATCATCATTTAATCATGTCTCACGTGTTTAGTTTCTTTAGTAACATTTTCACCACCTCCCGCTCATCTACTAGTTGGATTGATATGAGGGAAAAACATTCTAGTCATCCTAAAATAAACCTTAATTCACTAGACAACCCTCTTTTAGACGGTGAAATCAAGAGGGCTATTTTCTCCTTCAAACCTTTTAAAGCGTCGAGGCCGGATGGCCTTCACCCCTTTTTCTTTCAAAGATATTGGAACATCATAGGACAATCCGTCATGAATCTTTATCATGATATTTTCAATAAGCAAGAAATCCCTAGAGATATAAATAGAGCATATCTTTGCCTTATCCCAAAAATGCTCAATGCTAATAATATTATGAATTTTAGACCAATTGGCCTTTGTAATACTATTTACAAAACTATCACTAAGATTCTTGCAAGCCGTCTCACACCCTACTTAGAGAAAATTATTAGTCCTTTCAAGCCAGTTTTATGAAAATAGAAGAGCCTCTGACAACGCAATCATCATTCAGGAATTAATTTCCAATCTAAAAAGATTAAAAGGAAAACAAGGCCATATGATCTTAAAAATTGATCGTGAAAAGGCTTTCGATCGATTAGAATGGTCCTTCGTCTGCCGCACTCTAAGATTCTTTAACTTCTCTCCTAAATTCTCTAAACTCTTGCTAAGCTATATTTCAACCAGCTCCATAGCAATTCTTGTAAATGGCTTCACCACAAAAAATTTTGAGCCGAGTAGAGGGATAAGACAAGGTGATCCTGTATCACCTTATATTTTCATCCTATGTTTAGAAATGTTATCTAGGTATTTGATCACCAAGTTGATATTTGTAACTGGGACCCTATTACTATAGGGAGAAGAAGCCCCAGTTTTTCTCATCTTTTTTTCGCAGAAGACTTGACATTAATGGCCAAAGCAAATAGCAAATCTTGTCAAAATATTAAAACAAGCCTTGATTATTTTTGCAAACTCTCAGGACAAAGCATAAATGCGACTAAATCAAAAAAAAAAATTTCAAAGAACTGCTCATCACACATTATAATGAAATTACGATAACTTAGGTATATAAAAAATTGAGACATTTGGTACCTACTTGGGCTTTCCTATATTAATGAAGAATCCTAAACCAGCGGATTATCAATTCATAGTTGACAAAATAAGAACAAGACTTGCCTCATGGAAAATGAGATTTATGAATATAGCAGGGAGAACTACCCTAGCCCAATCATGCCTAAACTCCATACCAAACCACTACATGCAATATACCCTTCTACCAAAAAAGACTCTTAATAACATTGATAAAATCCAGAGGGATTTCATATGGGGTACGACGGTAGAAAAGAAAAAAAATTCACCTTGTTAAGTGGTCTAATGTTTGCCAACCTAAATCAAACGGAGGTTTAGGTATTAATAATGCTAATGCAAAAAATTTGTGCAACTTAGCTAACCTAGTATGGAGATTACTCACAAATGTCACAACTCCATGGGCAAGGCTTATTATTACCTTATATGGGGTGAATACCTCAAAATTTAATCACTACTTCATTTGGAAGGGCATCTTAAAGGGGTGGGAGTTATGTTCTAAAGGGATTACATGGTCACCGCACTACCAATCAAATATGAACATATGGAACACAAGTTGGATCCCAAATATAAAAAATCTCAAAAATGCGATTGAAGGCCCACTTTCGATCAGTGATTACTCCCTAAAAATTAGGGATATGTACATTGATCATAAATAGGATTGTTGGTATTACTGTATTCAAAATCAGAAAATCAGAAAATCAGAGAAGAAAACAAACGTTAGTTCAATAAAGTAAATCCTAAAATAATTCTAGCCCACTGAATGCACAGTGTGTCCTTAAGGAATTTAATCCCCTCACTGTTTCCCAGGGTATACGGATTAATTTCTCCCAGGATAGAACGGAATAACTATTCTGTGATAGCGGCACTTCAAATAACAAAACTTCAGCGAACTCAACAAACAGAGCAAATCACACATGACACTTATGTTTATTTAGAAAATAATACAACAATGTAGAAAAGAGAAAGAAGATTTCAGATTTTCCATGTCTTAAAAAATGAGGCCAAGCCTCTAAATTTATAGACAATGAAAGGGTGAGATGAAGAGGTGCAATCTAAGAGGTGCCTCTTCCATTTTCTATTCACACCCCTTAATAAAAATGCAACAATCCCCCACATGAATGGGGAATGGACATTTGTGAAAAAACATGCATGAAAATACTGTGTGATTCGCAAGTAAGGATTAATCGCATCTGGATAAGTAGGTTTCCCTTTGAACTTTCCGTAGTGAACTTATGTCGGATATACTCGGTCAATCGGTAGATTTGATATCTTTGAACCGTCGAGCTTTGGTGTATACCTAGACAATCATAAGTCACACAATCAATCCTTAACCGTCTTTGGTTCTCACGGTTGTGTTCGTTTCAGCCATGAACACCGCCTGGTTTCATGAGTGCTTAGAGAATGGGCCTTTACTTTCATTCCCCTTAAAGCGGCTTACACTTCACACTCACATAGGTGATTTCTGAACGTGTAATCCTATAGACACACTATCTGATCATATCCTGTCAGACTTAGCAAATCATTAAAAAGCTTTAAGCTTTATTGGCTCATCAAAAAGCCTTAATGCTTTACCTTGATTTCTGAACATTGTCTTCATCACGAGAATGGGTTGAGCTATTTGACAATGTTGAACCGTCATTACTAACATTGTTTGATCTCTTTGAACCTAGCTCTTGGGATCTCTAGTCTGCTAGGTAGAGTTACCGCCATGATGACTTGTCCTAGGCCTTAGCCCCATTCCCTTCGATGATATTTCAACTGCCTCTCTAGAAAGACCTTATGTAAGTGGATCCGACACGTAATATCTTGACTTTACATAGTTAACCGTGATAACACCACTAGAGAGTAGTTGTCTAACGGTATTATGTCTCCGTCGAATGTGACAAGATTTTTCGTTATACATATCGCTCCTTGCCCTGCCTATTGTCGTTTGACTATCACAATGTATACATATAGGTGCCAAAGGTTTGGACCAAAATGGAATATCTTCAAAGAAATTCCGGAGCCATCTAGCTTCTTCACCGGCCTTGTCTAAGGCTATAAACTCAGCCTCCACTGTAGAGCAGTCAATGCACATTTGTTTGGACGATTTCCAAGACATCGCTCCTCCATCGACTGTTTAGAATCGGTTGAACCGGTGTCTAATTTGCATCACTATACCCCTCTATTATCGCGGGATATTTATTATAGTGCAAAGCATAATTTGGAGTATATTTCAAATACTTCAAAACTCGTTTCATTGTCATGAAAGTTCAATGCAAACTTTCTTATGTCGTAGAATAATACGTCTCGACTTTCGATTGCATATCAGATTATTGACTAGACTTAATGTAGCAATAATATATTATAACAACAGCAAGAATGATTGGCATCAGTTGTGTCACAACCTTTTAATATGTAACACATTTTGCAATCACTCCGCCATTTTCAAGCATTTGTATGTTATTTATTCATATGTCTATATGATATGCAAATTATAACACCTTCATTTATGAAACAAATCCAACTTCCAATGGATTTTGGTCATGCTCATCGGTTGGTTCACCTCATTATAGACCAACGTATTAATACGTTCGTTTATGAACGATCATGTTTGTACAAGACATATAAACACACTTTTCATGAAAAGTCACAGCCTTCCGGGTGACACACTTTCATAAAAGAGCTAAATATTATAAATGTTCAAGAAAGAACAAATCATTTCTGGAAAGGCACGTAAACAACTTTCGAATTTGTAGTTTCATCACTAGTCATCACTAAGACCGAGCAAGTAATGAATTCACCGACTACCATATCAATATCCTTAAGGATTCTTGGGGTTCAAAGAATCATATCATCTAGTTCTTCTAAATAATATAGACATCACATCTAACATTAGCTTTTGTTATGCCTAAATGCCCGCACATTTCACATGTTCATGTGCTATAATCCATATATAACCAAACAATGACTACATAATTTAGAGTATTCTTAATGTAAATACACTAGTTTGAAACCATTTGACAACATTTTCTAGTCAAATTTCGCATGCCATT